CCTTTCGAGCATGCAAATGTTCTGTGTTGCGGCCCCCAGCAAGCCTCGTGCCTTCCTCCCTGAGTGAAGGCTGGCCTGAATATCCAACTGAGGCCTATTTTGCATTGTGCTCTCTGCTTGGTATATGACTATCAGGGCTACTTCATGATTTTGCAGTTTGGAATTCTGTCTATCGTTCTCGCTCATATTCCTTGCAGGAGAGGCACATTCGGCTACTATAGCCTGCCCTTTTTGAAAATTTTAACTGACCCTATTTCTGTGCTCGCATGTGCGCTATGCGGCGCACGCGCACAACTTACACGCATGTGAGCGCCGCATGTATGAGTCAGACACATAATAGTAGGTCTAGTTTCAATTTGTCAAAGAATGGAGGGCCGAAAAACAGGGGTCGACTGAGGTGCCCTGTTTTTTTACCGCTAGGCCCCTAACACCAACCTTTACCATCCGGCTAACCTAAACTGTCCCATTTCAGGTGGGGAACTGACTTTGGACACCCGACACCGGTCCAGACGTCTGGCTGGTTACCATTGTAATGAACCGAGTCTCGTCATCCAATCATGTCGCAGATAACAATGTGGTGCAATGCCATGAGCTTATCAATCCAATAATACCATCAGTTCGAAGTCATTGAAGTACAGGTTTCCTCATTACCATGTGTACCCACACTCTCTCTCTCTCCTCTCCTTATTCCCTCGCCGTCATCTATGGTCGCGGTCTTGGCCGCCCTCTCCCTCTCTTAATAGTATGATATCTGGCTGGCGCCCATCCAGCAGTCTAGCGCCAGCATCTTCTCTCCAGTCTCACGCACAGCGTCGTATCTGCAAGCAACTCGCAAGGATGAATGCTCGAGCAGTGGCGAGGTCAACCTTTTGTAGCGTCGACTCCCGCTGTTCAGGGTCAGCATCGGTCCATGTGAGGGCATCCGATCAGTATCAATTTCGGTCTGGACTCCTCTAGGCCTGAATCTTCCGAAACCTGCAGACAACTGTTAGATCATTCCAGATCAACGGCCAGGAAATCTTTGTTGTTGACTTTGACTTCTCGGATCTGGGCCTGGGTCCACGAGTTGACTGTTGACTTTTCGGTCAACTGTCGGCCTGGGCCTTTTTCAAGGCCTCTTTGAGTCCTCTTTTCAAGGCCTGCCCGTTTGTACCCGTCTTTGGGCGCGTCCGGAGCCCAGCGGCTCAATTTGGCACACGAGTTACAGCAACCATGCCCTTTAGCCACTTTAAAACCGAATTATACCCCCCTTCCACCCGCTTGACAGCCAACTCTCAAAAAAAGAAAAGAGACCGGATTTGGGGTCCTCTGGGAGAGTGCAGAAAAGTTGAGAAAAGTTCAGAAAACCGAAAAACTTTTACTTTTTTTTTGTTTGCATGCCCGGGTACCCCAGGTGTCATGCCCGGATGCACAGCCGTCCGTGACAATCTTCCTATAAAGTTTCAGAATTTTCAGCAGTTTTCTAAACAGCTATTTCCAAGAGTCCGAATGACACCAAATTTGACACACTGCAACCTTGAGCTAAAACAGTATACCTTTCTCAGCCTTTTGGATAAGATCAAGTGTAGTTTCTCTTTTGATCAGTTTAATATCTGATCCGTTGTCCATTGTGCAAGGAAGATGAGCAATAGCGCACTTCAGAAATCAAACAGCATCATACACATGAGACCAGATAGTCGTGACCTCGAACCAATAGCAGAATTGCATCACGAGTTTCACCAAATAAGAGCACACCAAAAGCTCATAATTGACAATGCTGGAATAGTCCCATCATCATCAACGAAGAACCAATGTTGATATCCTATCTGGCGCTCGGCACCCAGACTACGAATGGCAGATCCTATCTAGCCTAGACTACAATGCCGCTGATGACGTCAACAGCTTCCCAAGTACGAGCAGATCTCGGCCAATGCCGCAGGCCTCAAGCACCAGGTATGTCTCTCGTATCACTCACAACGTCGTTCCCCAACTCACAGATGCCACTTGCACCCAAGGACCACCATGCGCCCCATCCAGCATAGAGCAGCGCAGCTCGGCTATGGCTGCCTGCTCCTTCCAGCTCGCCCGTGAGCGCGTGAACGCTGGCCAGCGTTAGCACAGCATGCAGCCAGTGCCCAAATTTCTGCGTGGGCAGGCCCTTCCCTATATCGAAGTGGCCTGCTGCTGCGTGCTGTGCTGCGGTACTGGGCCCCGGCCCAGAAGCTTCCAGTAGGCCCAGGGAGGCTGACCCTCAGTCCAAACGAATCAGGCCCAGGGCCACCAACAGTTACCCGTGCCCAACTGCCTACAGTCTGAGTTGGGTCCATGCTGCGTATCTCGCCCAGGGCCTGACTTAGATACCTTTGATAAAGGAGGCCAGGGCCTGGGCGCCTTCAACCAACTGGCACTGCGCAACTGCCTGAATTTTACCCCAGCTGCGAAGTAGTCCAAAATAGGCCTCTGGTCATCTGTTGAGCCTGCCTTCACTTAGGGCGGCCGACCTGTTGCAAATAGGGGCCCGGTAGGGCTTAGCGAGGCCTTGTGCCTCGCAATTGGACCACATTAAAAAAAAAAAAAAAAAGAAAAAAAAAAAGGAATTGACCTTAAAACTTAAAAGTTATAACCCTAATTTCAGCAGAAGATCTGTTACCCTAAAGCTGAAAGGAGGGGTCCTTACAATGGGTTTTCCTCGATGCGCTGTACTGCGCACGTGCGCCACACGGCGCATCCCGCACTACGCGCGCGCACTGCATGCGGCGCACCTCCAAAAATGGGGGTCGAAAAAAAAAAAGAAAAAGTTGTGAGGGGCGGTAGAGACCCGGCCCCCTGCTCGCGTAAAATAAGAAACGGGCAGCCAAATTTTTTTTGGAGGCCACGCGTTGGCCTGAAAGCTTTTAGTAACCTGTAGTCCGCGTAACACTCTGTGTGTATGGTAGGGTTCTTGCAGGCCAGATTCAGTCATGATGAGGGTAGCGATCTCTCAACGTTCTCTTCTTATTACTTCTGAAGTAGAAAACGACGGAACTGACAGCCGTTTTTCCTGGAGGTTTTTTTTTTTTAATAAAGAAAAAAACATAAAGGAAGAAAATCAGCGGAACTGACAGCCACTTCCCTCTTTGAAAGGGTGACGGCCTCGAGACATTGGGCGTCGCTGCACTACTCTCGAAATGTGCAAAACGAGAGTGATCTTCCGCTAGAATATGGAAAAATACACGGCCATGATTTTTGTCTTTTGCGCATGTCAAGAGTAGTGCAGCGAGGCCCATCATGATTGATTGACCAGGCCCAGGGAGTTCATTGAAAAAAAAAAAAAAAAAAAAAAAAGAACCTCAACGGTACTGTTCAACAACGGGCTCGCTGCACTACTCTCGACATGCACACAAGACATATATGGCAATGTATCTTTCCATGTTCAAGCGGAGGATTCAATCTCATTTGTTCAGAGATTCTCCAAAAAAAAAAAAAAGAAAGGTTCCAGAGATACGTTACGTGCTTACCTGATTCATTCTCATTTTGCACATTTGGTAAGTAGCGGAGCAACGGCCCTTCGCTCTCCACCACCCAACGTATGAGCAAAATGGGAATGAATCTTCCACCGGAACATGGAAAGATACACCG